ACTGGTTTTGTAACACCTGAGGGGCATTTTGAATATCTCAAGATGCCCTATGGGTTGGCGAATGCCCCGGTTGTTTACCAACGCATTATCACAAATACCCTAAAGACATTCATTGAAACAGGAAGGGCCTTAGTGTATATTGACGATGTGCTTTTGCCTAGCCAGACTATTGATGAAGGACTCCTCATTTTGCGTGAAGTTTTAGAAGTTTTAACTAAAGCTGGATTTTCAATAAATTTAAAGAAATGTAAATTCCTTACTAACGAAATAGAATATCTGGGGAGAACAATCAGCAATGGTCAGGTTAGGCCAAGCGCTCATAAAGTAGAAGCCTTGAAAAGGGCACCGAGGCCCAGTAATGTAAAACAAGCACGTCAATTTCTAGGCTTGGCGGGTTATTTTAGACGTTATATTCCTGAGTATTCATTAAAGACAATGTGCATATCCAACTTATTTCGAAAGGGTGTTGAGTTTCGATGGGGTGACGAACAAGAGCAAGTTCGCCAGTACATTATTACACGTTTGACTGGCGAACCAGTTCTTGACATTTTTAACCCCTTATTACCTACGGAAGTGCACACTGACGCTTCGTCACTAGGCTATGGGGCTGTCTTAATCCAGACTCATGAGAGTGGTAGTAAGCGGGTGATTGGGTACTTTAGTAAAGTTACTCAGGGTGCTGAACCGCGTTACCACTCTTATGAGCTTGAAACGCTGGCAGTGGTCAAGGCGTTGCAATATTTCAGACATTACCTCATAGGTATACATTTCAAAGTAGTTACGGACTGCAACGCCTTGAAGCTCACACAGCGAAAGAAAGATTTATTACCGAGGGTTGCTCGGTGGTGGATCTATTTGCAAGACTATGATTTTGTATTAGAGTATCGCAAAGGCGCTGCGTTACCTCATGCCGATTATTTAAGTCGTAATCCGATAAATATTTGTGAGATTAGAAGACCTTGTAATTGGGCACAGGTAGCGCAAAATGCGGACGAGGAAACCAAAAACTTAATACAAAAATTGGAGGACGGTGTACTAGATGGGACACGTTATGTATTAAAAAATAATATTCTGTATTATAAGTTTGATTCTGCTGGTCAGCCTACTAAACTTCTCTGTTTTATCCCTAAAGGTCACCGCCTTAGTCTATTGCGTGTGTTTCACGATGAGCATCATCATATTGGTGCAGATAAAACAATTGATTTAATTCTAAATCATTTTTGGTTCCCTAATTTAAGACAATTTGTCCGCAAATATATACGTCATTGCATAGTATGTCTTTCACATAAAAAGGTACCACGTCAACCTTTGCAGCCGATCCAGTCGTGGAGAAAACCTGACGTACCTTTTGATACGGTACATAGTGATGTGTTAGGTCCTCTCCCCGAGTCGAATGGCTACAAATTCGTTGTATTAATAGTTGATGCATATAGTAAGTTCTGTTTGTTGTATCCAATATATAAACAAGACGCTAATGAACTGAAGCGTGTCTTTGAGAATGCTATATCCTTATTTAGCACACCTAGGCAGATTGTAGTCGATAGAGGTAGAATGTACGAGAGTAGATTATTTAAACAATGGGTGTCAGACGTGGGCAGTAGTTTATTCTTTATAACACCTGAGATGCATCAGAGTAATGGTCAGGCTGAGCGATATTGCAGGACAATTCTGAATATGATTCGTGTGGAGGTTAATTTTAGAAATGAAAGTTGGTCAGAAGTCTTATGGAAACTGCAGCTCACTCTGAACATTACAAAACAAAAGTCCACTCAATATTCACCCTTATTTTTGTTAATTGGCAGCGATGGCGTGACGCCCGTTATCCGTTCAGTTGTGCGTGATGTGGCCCTTGAGGGAACAAGTGGCAATCGCGAGGCCTTACGTGAGCTGGCCAGACAAAGAGCATCTCAATTGCTGGATCAAAACAGAAAACAGCAAGACACTCGAGTAAATGAACGGCGCAAGCCCCCACATGTTTTTCATGAAAATGACATGGTCTTCGTACATAAGAACAGTCAATCTGTGGGCAAACTTGACTCTGGCATGCGCGGTCCGTACAAAGTTGTGTGCGCATTGCCTCATGGTCGATACGAGCTGAAGCTTATTTCTGGCTCACTCGGGAAGACCACAGAAGCTGCTGCTGAGCATATAAGTGCTTGGCACGGAGAATGGACACCAGATGTGTGCGCCGTATTCTTCGAGTGTGAGTATATTTGTAACTGTAATAGGGACTATTTGCATTGTATCACTTAAGCGATATAATAAAAATAGTACTTTATTACATGTTGGTCATCCTGTGGGCTCTGACACATAACATGTTATGTATAATTGTTTTATTTTGAGATATACCGCGGTCACTGTCTCGGTCATCCTGAGGGCTCTGACACATGTTAAAATTCATGTATTTAAGAACATGCTGCGGCCTCTGTTGTTGAATTACAATTTTTCAGTATTTTATTGCTGGTATGGTTTATTTTGTTGGCATAATTCCATCGTAAACATTATATTTTCAGGTGATGAGAATGAGAGCTGCTCTGACGATAGCATCATCGCTGGCCCGTCGCACCTACGTGACGTCACCATAGCTGAAAGAGCGGGCGAGGGCGCTCCGCCGTCAGGAGAGGCCGTGTTAGCGGAGAATGCTCAAGAATAGGGGCGTGGCTTGAGTGACGTAATTTGTGGCGTGATGGTGGCGTGGTGGCTCGCTTGACAACGCACGAGTCGCCGACACTGGAGCGGCTAACTTACTTTTGTCGTGGCTGCCGGAACGGACGGACGTTCACATCATCGCTTCTCTTATTTATTTTAATATTGTTAATTATTCGTTAAAAAAATAATAAAAAGTAATATCTTTAATTCCATCGTGTATAATTTTTTTTATAATAAAGTTAGTGCATAGATAAAAATATATATCTATATATATATATATATATATATATATATATATATATATATAGTTTTTAGAATATTCTGTCTGTCTGTCTGTCTGTCTGTGACCGCATCACGAGAAAACCACTGGACAGATTTTGATGAAATTCAGCATTATGATAGCTAGTTATCCGGCACAACATATAGGATACTTTATACTGCGAGAAAATATGTTATCTCTGAGCTAATCCTTAAAACTCAACTAAGTGAAACGTGAGTCGCTAGTATTAAATAAATATTATTAAAAATTCAAAATAAGAAACAATGGAAATTAAGTCTACCTACCCAGTCTGTCAATCTGTCTCAATTAAAAAAAAAACAAAATTCGCCTATTTAAATTAGTGTATTTAATAATAATAATAATAAAAATAGGTAGTACGTCTCGCTGAAGAACATTATTATGACCACATTGTAATTCCATTACAGGTAGGTATTATAGGTTTATTTACATAATTCCAATAGGTTCTTGCAGGAAGTTTGAATACTCAGAAAAAAAAAACGCAAAATCTACTTACGTTTTTATTTTCTTAATGAGCAACACTTATCATTAAAAATGGATTCATAAATCTATTATATTTACTAGTTTTCGCAGTCATTAACCACTGAAGGATCCCGATTATCGCGTCAACTTAATCGTTAGTAAGCTGCTTAGAATGCATTATCTATTTTTTTTTTCATACTTTTAAACAGCCCACCGACGTTGATACCGAGAATGTCCATAGTATTAAATTTCCATATACTCTGTAATTTAAATGATAGGCATTTTGTTTTTGAAGTGCAACTTCTTTAGAATCATTGCGATTTGAAACTCGATGAAACGGAAATGCAAAACTAAAAGCTAAAAAAACCGACTTCCAGGCACTAAAATGTAAAAAATAACTAAACGGGGGTTTTCATTTAGAATAGATACCTAATCAGATATTTTCGAAGTCGGTGCCAGCTGATGCAAAGCAAATCTAATAGGTATATTTCGATACGCAAAATACATATTTAGCTATTAGATATTCATATCTTAAAATATTGTCGTAGAAGTGTTATTGTGTTAAACTCATGTCACTATGTAAATTTAGTAAGCCTTTTAAAATAAATAAATAAGAACATACCTAGTATCTACCTATAACCTATTAGATAAAAAATATATTTTAGGTACTTAGGGGAGCGGGGGGCTAGTTGTTGCAGGGGTAAGTAGTTACACGCCTTTTTTACCGGGATTTTAAACTCTTTGGTGGACATAATTGGTCTCATTTGTTTTCTTATAACATCGTGCATTACATAAAAACGACCAGTGACCCGCCAAGCGCCAAGCTGCTAGGTTGTGTGCATGTGTCTCGATTTCAACCAAGTAAGTAAAAAAATCCTTTAAGAAATTTTTGATTCCTGATGTCTATATTTTTTATTTTCTCAAAATTTTTAACCTTGAACGTTCATAATATATCTACCTTTAATTTGCAATATTGTTTTTTTCTACTATCGATACCCATTAATGGTGACTTCCATTTATATTAAAAAACGTCCCATGGGGCAGGTAGTTACAATTTTTTGGGGTAAGTTGTTACATGTAACAAAAAAAAATTACCATACCTAATTATAAAAAATTTAATTATTCTGTTTTTTTTAGAATGAGAAACTATAAAAGAAAAACAGAAAGAGGTACAACTAGTCAAGAAGTTTATGAATCTGCTGGAGCAGAAGTACTGCAGAATAAAATGAGCATTCGTAGGGCAAGCGAAATGTTTAATTTGTGTCCGATGTCCTTATCCAGATATGTCAGAAAAAAACAAAAACAACGAAAGTTGTTTATTGGGTTACGTTAAACCTAGATTGATATTCTCACAAGAAACAGAACATAAATTAGCTTCCTATCTACTCAAACGTTCAGAAATATATTTTGGTTTACTACCAATAGAAGTTCGAAAATTAGCTTACCAATGTGCTGTAAAACTCAATTTAAAAAATATTCCCCCCAGCTGGCTTAAAAATAATACGCGCTCTGCTCTCACAATTTACAACCATTAGATGTGGGAGTTTATGGTCCTTTTAAAAACCACCTTAATCGAGCACAGACAGTCTGGATGTATAATCATCCAGGAAAAGCAAGAAGCTCGAAAACGATCCATACTCGTCGTAAACGCAAATCCGCTGTGTTAACCGACACGCCTGAAAAAGACTCATTAAAAAAAGAGTATGAAGAAAAACTGGCCAAGACCAAAAAAACGTGTGACAAAAATAAAAGAAAAGGCAAAGGTAAAGGAAAAGGTAAAGGAAAGTCCTCGAAAATGAGCGAAGAAGGTAAAGATAAGGTGAAGAATAAAAATATTAGTTTCCGACTCGGATTCCGATACTGATGAATGGTTTTGTTTAGTGTTTAGCGAAAGTTACAGCACCTCGAAAAAAGAAGATTGGGTAGAATGCTTAGAATGCAAAATGTGGGCTCATGTCAAATGTGTAACGGGAAACGTTCACTCATTCATTTGCATTAATTGCAATTCTGATGAAGGCTAATTTAATATTAGTATGTGATATTGTTACCTACCTCTATATAAATAACTATATATTTTTCTATAATATAAGTACCTACTCTAAAAAATGTTAGAATCCAAAGTATTTTAGTTTATTAAAAGTTTATTAAAATAACTAATAAGTATAAATAATTTACTACAAGTTGTTATTTGCAGACGAAGTTTCTGTGTTTTTATATAAGATATAAAAAAGTTCCTGCCAAAGTTATGTTATTTTTCTACAAAAAAAATTCATCAAAAATTACGATTTAGATATTATAATTACTCATAAATGTTAGAAAACTGTTTAAAGTGATCTCTTTTGTTTATAACGTTATCAAATAATAATAAAAATGATTTATAATTGATGATTTTGTTTATTTATCTATCGTAACATCGTGCCCCGAAGATGTAACAACTAACCCCAAATGTGGGGTAAGTTGTTACAATCGACTTTTTTGGTTAAATTGTCGATTGTGAAAAAAAATACATGAATTTTGATAACTTTTCAATCATATTTTAATAGCTGAATAGACATACTAACGATAAAAGCAATCAAATGTATAAATTATTTGATAGCTTTTGTCATATTGACATTTATCTAAAAATTGTAACAACGTGCCCCCCGCTCCCCTACTGGGTGCCTTTTTTTTTATCGTCGGGAAATGCATTTACGCATACCACCTGATCCCCCAGGTGGTGATGTGGGGCTCACCGGCTCACCAGCTAGAAGAGCCGGTACTACCCACTAAAACCCGACATCCCTTCCCCCCGCCTTAGTGGGACGCCGCAGGATCGCTTGCGCATAACTACTACAGAGGTACTGGGTACCTAGTGCATTGTTAAACAGATTTATTATCGAGTTAGGTATCTACTGAGACAAGTCTATTTCAAACATCAAGTACCAAGTAAAGTAGGGTGACGAGTTTATGTGAAACCCAAATATTTTTAACTTTGAATAATACAAACTGCAGTCAATATAAGGAACAAAGGAAGTTAGTATCATGTTGTGTTGAATAAAAAAGTACTTAGATGAGTAAAACCGGGGTAGGTTGCTGTATGTAGAGACCGTTTATACCTTGAGAACATATCTCAACCTGTACCTAGGTATATTTATGTTGGAAACAAGGCTCTTGTAACATAATCACCGATCAAATAAAATAGAGCTTCACCTTTACAAAATAGGACTTCCGCGTACAAAATCCTTCACAGACATTTATTGTAACAGTAAAATTTTAATCGTCTCTCCTAAAGTTGGTGTCGACTGTGAAAGTAAATAGGAACCTACTACCTAGGCAATAGTTATTTTTGTTAATAATAAGTATAGGTATGTTTAGAAATTTATAAAATATAAATTAAAAATTTCTTTCTTAGATTTACACGAATATTTGACATTTTAAATAAAACTATGTTTTCGGATTTTTTTGGCGAATTTATTTTGATTTTGAAATTATACATGGAACAATAATGTAGCTTGAATAATTAATATTTCATTTTTCTTTATGTTTATAAATATAATAATGGCAACACTAAATATACCTAAGTAGATTATTAATAAATAAGTTTTTTTATAAAAAAATGTAATAATTATAATAATAACAGCTAAAATTAATTAAATAATACTCCATATACAATTATAATTAGAAAATTATTAAAATTATAAAAATGTTTTAAAATTAAATTAACACATACAAACACAAAATGCTTAGAATTAAAAACAACAAATATTGTAAGGCACTTTGGTGCCATTTTTCAATTTTTTGAAATCATTTTGTTAATTTGTGGTTAGGCTGTCTGTAACAACTACCTACGTAATGCCTTTGAGACATCTAACACCTCAGTCTCTCCCGCGACCATGATTGCTGTAAAGCATTCGAAACGTAGGGGACCAAAAATCAAAATAAATTCGCGAAAAAATCCGAAAAGATTGTTTTATTTAAAATAAAAAAATCTTGTTTGTTTGTGTCATAGGTACTAATAAATACTTTAATCCATATTAAATACGTATTAGTTATTCCAGCAAAATACGAGTAGGTAAACCTATTAACAAGAGCTAGTGCCATAAAATAATTAACTTATAAGTACAATTCGAATATCCAGCTACCGATAGTTGGCTATGAATATCACGGCTTGCTTGCTCCGTCCCATAAATCATAAATACACCATTATTTATTACCGATACAATTTCACCCACGTACCTACTACGCTTTGTTTATTTCGTACGGTGTACCTATAACAGAGATATGCATTGTCCTCACTGGATGAATTTGAAAGAAAAAACATCTCGACTCATTCTCCTTCCTTTAAATAAAACAAAAGAGACTAGAAAGACATGTCGTTAAAACAATTGAAACGGAATCGATTTAAAATGTCACATCACTTAATCGAAACGTTCGAATTTCAAATCTAGGTCTGTTAACATAGAGATGAAAATGGCAGTTAAAGATGGCGTCATCCAAATGTTTTAGAACGCGGGAAATGAAAGTGGTTACATATTTATAAAATGGAATCGATTTTTAAATGAGCCAATGGTAAGGCTTGGTGGAGTGGGCGGGGCCTCGCTCCACCCCGGCGGAAGTCAGATGAGTCTGAGCGCCTTTTGTTCATTCACGCAGCGTTAGTTGACGTGAGCAGACGTGTTATAAAGATATACTTTTAAATTTGACTAATTTGACTTCGATATTTACATTATAGCTTACTACTTCATTCATATTTTGAAACAAGCTCATTTTAAATAAATAATTTAGAATCATAGTATATTAATTTCACCATGGGTTACTTAATTATAAGAATCTATAAAAATGGGAAAGCAAGTTTCAGTACAATAAATAGATATAACAAATATTAATAGTAAGTAGCATTTATCATTTTTTGTTTAAAATCGGCTATTAAAAGTTAGTATTAAGGTAGGTATTTTTAGTTAAAATACACCATTGAAAAAGTTGGCATTACCTTTTTATATGTATCTAATGCAACCTTAATATTGCGAAATAAACATGATACTGTCTCATTACTTGTTTATAACAAACTTTATTTTTGATATAGAGTAGTTAAGATTAAAATTTTTCGCTTGTCTTAACTTATTCATCAGGTCCAGACCAAACCATCGGAATCTAGCGAACTGTTATTAATTATGTTAGCAAATTTCAATTACCTATAAGATAAGTACACGAAGTACCTACCTATTTTTTTTTCAAATTCAACTCCTTTATGAGTCGAAACGAGGACCAAGGCTGTATAGGAAATATTTTTCAGACTGTTAAATGGGTGTTAAACGGAGTAGCCTGCTAGTATTAAACATATTCATTTACATTTTATTAATTTCAATTAGATTAGTAATTTTTACTTTTTAACGGTCTTCATCAAGATTCAAGATAGTTATATCCAATGTAACAAAGGAACCCTCAAAGGGCAGGGTGCCTTGCCCGTGACCAAATTAATTTTCCAATCTAAGTTTAAAATAAAATATATATAGGTAGGTACATACAATCTTATAACTTATAAGTATATAGGTACTTACTCACTATTGCCTTATGACTTATGAAAGAAGTAGGTACTACAGCCAGGCGGCGATATTTTTAAATTTTGATCTAAGAACTGTCATGCACTAAATCTAATACCACATTGAACAAAGAAAAATTTGATTGCATTTCTCAACACCTTCTCACTTATAATTTACAGTAAAAAGACACTAATACTTTCAAATAAATACTGAAATTGCCTTTCTTTCTTGGCCATTTTTATCTTATTGTAAGTGCTTAATATATTATTTATAAGAGAAAAATTGATCCATATTCAGTATAAAATATTTTACACAAAATAAATTAGAACACTAAAATTTAACATCAATGATTAGCTTGCCTAATTAATTTGGATAAGCTTTTTATCAATTTATTTAAAATTTCATAAAGACTGGGTGTTACGTAAAGTAACTCGCCTGATTTTATTTAAGTAGGTATTTTAAATATTTTATTCAAGAAACTTTTAAATCCATACGAGGTAAATAGTAAACTATAAGAAAAAAATACCCCGTGCAGAAATGTACCCGCGATCTGCGACTTAAACAGTGATCAGGTCAGAACCCTACTGTGCCAAAGGGTCCTTTTCATAAAATCCGGTTAATAAAGCACAAAATGGATCGCACAGAAGCTAAAATAAAAAATATTTGTATGGGTCTTTATTACTCACCTTTTTACACGAGCTGCATGGGTCCATCGGACTGCGAATAAAGGAAATACTTTTTTTTAAACTAAGGTGCCGAGAGTCGAACCGGTTATGCTTACACTATCAAATCAAGAAAATAATATTTTTCGATGATAAAATAGGCAGATGTTATGCAAAATATTTTAATATGTAATGTGTGATTTAAAGTATAAATTAGTTATGTGCTTAATTAATACGCAAATAACAGAATATTTAAAAAAAATATTGATGTAAGTAGGTACTTTTTTACATTATTCATTATTACAATACCTACTAGATAATTGTAGATATCGTCTCATGATACATACATATTTCTAAATATTACCACTATTTTACTTTAAAGCTGAATTTTTATTCCTTTATTCAAAGGACCAGGTACATACGAGTACATAAGACATAATATAGCAACCTTAAAAATTTTAAACTTCAAATCTTCACGTAAAACTTATTTCAGATGAGTTTAAAGAAAAGTTGCCAATTACTAGAAAAGCTCAGACATTACAATTCAAATATCATGTAAAATATGAAGGCGATGATTGATTGATAAATGATCATGCCTCACGTTTTAAATTATTTTTTACTTACATCCGTCAAAGTTC